GACTCTATGACTTTGCTCATATGGTTCCTAATAGAAATGTCCTGCGCACCTGTCCAGCAGACCAGACTCATGTTTATCATTGAGAACTCAATTCAGATTTCTTTTTCTGTAATTTTTATGCACTGCTTTCCCGTAAAAGAATCCATATATTTTCTGTAAACCTCTGTTATCAGTGTTTCTTTAGTCAATTGCCTGTTTGTGCCTCTTGTTAAAGATCTACAGGTACAAATGCCATCTTTTTCTATGTTTCTAGTCCCAGAACAATGCCAGAGAGTAAGTTAATAGATTGTTATTGAACTGAAGATATGGAGACATTGAATTCCTAGGAATAATAGAAGAGTGAGGTCATATTTATCAGTTACAACAGGTCCTCTTAAATAGAGAAAAATCTCTTTTCAACTAAATTATTTCTAACCACTAAAATTTGACCCCTTTTGTAATAGATAACTTAGCATATATAGTTATAAAAGAGGGATATTCTTTTTTTTTCTTTCATTTTGAGATTTTTTTTTTCATTTATTTTTATTAGTTGGAGGCTGATTACTTTACAGTATTGTAGTGGGTTTTGCCATACATTGACATGAATCAGCCATGGATTTACATGTGTTCCCCATCCTGAACCCCCCTCCCACCTCCCTCTCCACCCCATCCCTCTGGGTCTTCCCAGTGCACCAGCCCCGAGCACTTGTCTCATGCATCCAGCCTGGGCTGGTGATCTGTTTCACCCTTGATAATATACATGTTTCGATGCTGTTCTCTCTGATCATCCCACCCTCGCCTTCTCCCACAGAGTCCAGAAGTCTGTTCTATACATCTGTGTCTCTTTTTCTGTCTTGCATATAGGGTTATCGTTACCATCTTTCTAAATTCCATATATATGCATTAGTATACTGTATTGGTGTTTATCTTTCTGGCTTACTTCGCTCTGTATAATGGGCTCCAGTTTCATCCATCTCATTAGAACTGATTCAAATGAATTCTTTTTAATGGCTGAGTGATATTCCATGGTGTATATGTACCACAGCTTCCTTATCCATTCGTCTGCTGATGGGCATCTAGGTTGCTTCTGTGTCCTGGCTATTATAATGAGTTTTTTTAATTGAAATATAGTTGATTTGTAGTGTCTTATTAGTTTCAAGTGTACAACACAGTGATTCAGTTTTGTATGTATATATACATATATGTATGCATGCTTCTTTTTCAGATTCTTTCCTTTTATAGGTCATTACAAAGTCATCAGTATTGCCCCCTGCAGCATAGAGCAGGTCCTTGTTGGCTGTTCTGTGTGTAGCGGTGTGTGTATGTGTTAGTTCCAAGCTCATAGTTTATCCCCCCTTCTTTCTGTCCTTTTTGGTAACCAGAGCTTATTTTTTGTGTCTGTGGCTCTATTTCTGTTTTGTAAATAAGTTCATCTGTACCTTTTTAAAAAAATATTCCACATATAGATGATATCATGTGATATTTGTCTTTCTCTGACTTACTTCTCTTAGTATGATAATCTCTAGGTCCATTCATGTTGCTGCAAATGGCATTATTTCATTCTCTTTTATGGCTGGGTAATATTCCATGAACATGACTTACCAACTGAGCAACGCCAACAGCATTCCTTGGTATATACACACATCACGTCTTTGTCCGCTCGTCTTTCAGTGGGCATTCAGGCTGCTTCCATGTCTTGGCTATTATGACAGTGCCGCAGTGAACACTAGGGTGCATGCCTGTTTCTGAATTATAGTTTTCTCTGGATGTATGTTTAGGAGTGGATTTATAGGATCATATGGTAACTCCATTTTTAGTTTTTTAAGGAATTGCCATATCATCTCCATAATAGTTATTAAAAGAGAAATTTTAACAAGGATTTCACTCATGATTAAGAATTGGTATTCTTGATTTTCTGCATAATTTATTTCTGTATTATATTCACTGTCCAAGGGCTTAGACCGGCTGCTGTTGATTACGAGAGCACTGGACAGGTTCAAGAGACTGATGGGCTTCCTGACGCAGGCTGAGAACTACAGTGGGCAATGCCAGACACATTCATCTGAAAAGAGAGAAAGCTCTGTGGTCAAAAGACACAGCCCACAGCATTTTTTTAACCATTGAGGGAAAAAAAGGTGCACCATTTTCTTCAGGTTTATTTGTTAAGCTCTGGGTCCCCTTCAGAGCTTCCTATGATATGTGGAGATGGCGGAAAGGGAAAATGGAGAGGGAAAAAGATCTAAATGTATTTTAAATAATTTGATTCAAAGGGAGCTACATTCTAAACCCTTAACACCAGTGCGTTAGGCCATTTACATATTCAGTCTCTCTGCTGGTGCCTTTTGCAGAGACTGCACAGTAGGTTGCTGGTTTGGAAAGCTGGGTAGGAATTGGAGAGCTCAAAGAGGGTAGCTTCCTACCTCACCGGGTTGTCAGGTGAAGCGTCAAAGGGAACCGCATTTTAGAAAGAGAGCCACACTCAGCTTGCCCATCCCCGCTTGGGCTTGCTGTCTCAGCATAGCTATTAATAGTGCTCTGTTTGATTCTCAGAGTGTCCTGTGTGGACGGCCGCCCTTGGTTCAGGTCAGAGTGGAGAATATCAGCGTGATGCATGGAGGATGCAGAGAGCTCAGGGCAGAATTATGAGGGCAGTTCTGCTCAGGGTTTTCCTTAAAAGGCTTCTCATGCTTTCTGAAATGCCCCGCAGCCCTTTCTTCTGACGCACTTCTCATCATCAGTTTATTTTTCTTTGGTGCAGCTTCTGACGGGGCCAGTGCATCTCAGCACAGTCTGGATTTCTGTTAGACTAGTGGGCAGCAGGACTGCATGCGTGTGAGATTCAAGTCTGAACAGATTGGCTGTGAATGGGGCGATAAGAATAGAGAGAAACACACAGCAGTAGACCAAACTTCCTGTGCACCGCCTTGGAATACTGTTTCACCATCTGAAATAGCATTCATCTTAAGGCTGGGCTCATTTATTCCCTCTGGAATTAAGCAATAGCACTGGCAGCAAAAGAGACTATTTTGGGAAGGAGAGGTAGGAGGAATTTTGCCATGAATGACAGACGGGGCAGAAGTGCCTTTCATGCTTTTGAGGACTGCACTGTTCATTAGCAACCTGATTAATAGAATTTGACAACTTTCCTATAATCCCAAACGCAATGAATGTCAAGGCATACGCACTGTCCTCTATGAAGATTAGCAAAGACTGAGTTTAGATGCTTTGACTTAATTTACCTACACTGCAGAAAGAGGAATTTTCCTTGGAGATTAGCCTCTAATGCAGATGCTCTTGAGCAGGGATAAATTATAACATCCTGTCCCTATCCCCTTCCTCACTTATGCCTTCCAGTCGTTTTTGCTTATTCCCATGCAGACTTTTCTAGATTGTTAGAGAAGTTTAAAATGAGGCAATGAATGCTGTGCCACGCCACCCCCCCACTCCACACACACACTGTCTCCCCACAAGGCCGAGGTGGGTAGGGCTTGGCAGCTGGCGGCAGCTGCAGAGATAAATCAGCGCCGGGACTCCTGGATGCACAGGGTGCAGAAGCTCCTGCGATGCGGCCGTGCAGCCGAGCACCTTCCCTGGGACACGGCCATGAGGACGGCGCTGCAGCCGGAGTCCAGAAGTTCAGGCAGTGAAAGGGAGATGCGGCTTGTAAGAACCAGTTTAGTGGTCCTTGTGATCCTGTCGCGTTTTTGGAGTGTGGAGAGTACTTAGGAAGACGGATAAAAGTCATTTCATGCTAATTTGTCATTTAATGGGTATATTTAATGAAAACCAGGGAATTATGTTGGCCTTTTCCTATTTGATTTTCTTATGTGATATTCTTCCACTAATAAAGAGTAAACTGCCTTCGGAATTTCATCTCTACAGATTTGCTGTAAGATATTAAAAGCAATAGCCCAGGGCTACTTAACATTTTTCTCTTTTGTTACTGGTAACCAGTTTGGAAAATGTTTCTCTGTGGAAGACTTTATAATCCTCTTTTCAGTGTGGTAGGTGTAATGACAAGAGGTTTTTTTGCTATTTTATTTTTTTCTTTTCACTTTGGCAATTGAGCTAATGTGAGAGAAGATGTTGAGTTTCCTTATCCCAACAGTGCTGTCTAGGTTTATGATAAGCATTTTGTAAATTATATCCCCTTGTTCACAAACATATAGTAAATTTACTTAAAGTCAAAAATCATAAATATATACTTGTTTTTTCTGGAGAGCTTGGTGCAGTGGCAGTTAGTGGTATCGTTATAGACATCAATGGCCAGTATATTGATTTTTTAAAACAAACTGTCATTTTATAGCTCAGCTGAATGATTCAAATATTTAATGGTCTCAGAATTTGAAATATATTGCTGTCCTCCTATCTAGACCTGATGTTGAATATTCTTTATCTTCCTACAACATTCTCTTTTTCAAAAAATTGATTTATTCATGTGAGAAATTGGTGGGAAAGATCTTTATATCATGACAAGATATAAAAAAGTTTTGAAAGTTTTGAAGCATTTTAAGAAAAAAGATTAAAGATCAAGTTACGCCTTCAAATTAAACCTTTTTTAAAGTAGCTTTTCTTTTGTGCATCTAAACAGTAGAATGATATTTCTATAGAAAGAATTAATTTCAAGTGCAAATATAATACTAAGGCTGCAATGATGAAAGAGCTATTATTGAAAGCAGATAGTAGAGGGAGGCAAGGAGGTGAAGATTTCAAAAAAGAGATTAAAAAAAAATCTTTGAAGTGTTTGGAGAATTGATAAATCAAAAAAGTTCTCACTAAGTGTTAGAATGTGCTAGGATCAGCACTGGGATATACAAATAAAGAACTGAGTTTGGGAGGAAAATCAGGCCTTGTTGAACCAGGTTTCATCTGGATTTTATAGATGGGCTCATCAATGATAAAAAGTATCACCAGCCGAGTGTCTGTGGGACTGTGTGAATCTACCAGTGGTCCCAGTCTCTGCTCTACGTGGGTGGCTCCCTTCTCCCAAACTCACCGACCTCCCGCCCTCTGCGTTCTAGGAGAGACAGCGTCTGGAGACCATCCTCAGTCTCTGTGCCGAGTACACGAAGCCTGACAGCCGCGTGGCCCCCGGCACCACCGTGGCAGACGTGCAGAAGATCAACAAGGAGCTGGAGAAGCTGCAGCTCTCCGACGAGGAGTCTGTGTTTGAAGAAGCCCTGGTGGGCCCGGACACCCGGTACCGGCGCCACCAGAAAAGCGCTCTCCACGACGCGGACCTGGCCGGCGTGGGGAGCCTCGGCCAGAGCAGTGCCGGCTTCCTCCCCCCACGGGGCGCCAGGAGTGATGAGCTGCTCCGGGACCTCACCCGGACTCCCCCGCCGCCCTCCTCTGCCTTTCTGAAAGCTTCCGGCGAGTCTGCTTACCTAAGTATCCTACCAAAGGTAAAGCCGCCACACACAGGGATTAGATGCAGGGCTGGGACCGCGCATCTGCCCTGGCCTCGACATCAGGGGTCATCTGCCCTGGCCTCGACATCGGGGGTCATCTGCCCTGGCCTCGACATCAGGGGTCTTACTGCTTGTTTTCCAGAATGCTTTCAGTGAAGCAGCTACTCTGGTGGCTCAGACAGGAAAGAATCTGCCTGCCATGCAGGAGAACCAGGTTCAATTCCTGGATGGGGAAGAGGAGGAGGAAATGGCAGTCCACTCCAGTATTCTTGCCTGGGAAATTCCATGGTCAGAGGGACCTGGTGGGCCACAGGCCACGGGGGTCGCAAAGAGTCAGACACGACTGAGCGACTAACACTAGCTAAACAAGGTGCAGCAAATTCTAGTGTCTATTATAAAGTAGCAGATTTAGACTCCAGAAAGTGTACCAGTACAGAAAGAGAAGGAGAGGCAGCGTGACTTCTCCCCGCCCCGTCTGGCTGCACACCTGAGGGGTAAACACAGGGTCTTACCTGCCTTCCCAGTATTTCTGTGCACAGATGGCCGTGTAAGCACAGACACACAGATACACAAGTGTGATGTTCTGCATGATTTCCTCCTATTGAACGTCCTGAGCATCTTTGCATGTTACTATACACAGTTCTACCTCATTCCTGTTAATGGTCAACTAGTATTTTATTGTTTGGAAATACTGTTTAAATTATTACCAATATTTTACTAATAAAATCTATATGCAGCAAATATTCTGGAATATATATATTAGCACAAATTGTGCAAATGTGTCTGTAGAGTTGGTAGGTCAAAGAGTTTGTGTATTATTCATTTTAAACAATATTTCCAAATTACACTCTCAAAGACTGTGTATTTCCAGGTGACTCTTGAGAAGAGTTTATTCCTGCACCTTGTTATTCATACACTTGTCAAAGTATGTATCATCAAAATTTTCAATTTGCTAAGTTAGTTATGTTTTAATTTGTGTGCCAATTTAACTGGCAAGAATACTGGAGTGGGTAGCCATTCCCTTCTCCAGAGGATCTTCCCAACCCAGGGCTTGAACCAGGGTCTCCTGCATTGCAGGCGGATTCTTTACTGCCTGAGCCCCCAGGGAAGTCCCCTCCTCACTGGTGACCACTAGCTTATTCTCTTTATCAATAAATCTGTTTCTGTTTTGTTATGTTTATTTTTCTAGGTTCCACATGCAAGTGCTAATATGCAGTATTTGTCTTTGGCTGACTTATCTCACTAAACATAATATCCTCCAGGCCTATCCATGTTGTTGCAGATAGGAACTTTTCATTCTTCTTTATGAATAATGTCTCATTGCCCGTGTTTCACGTCCTCTTTAACCATTCATCTGCTACACAAATGCTACACATATCTGCTACACAAAGGTTGCTTTCATTCCTTGGCTATTATAAACAGTGTCGCTATAAACATTGAGGCGCATGTATCTTTTCATATTACTGTTTTTTGTTTTCTTCAGATATATACCCCGGATTAGGACTTGCTGGATCATATGGTGGTTCTGTTTCAGTTTTTTTGAGAAAGCTCCCTGCTGTTTTCCATAGTGGTTTACCGGTTTACATGCCCACCCATAGCATGCTAAGGTTCCCTTTGCTCCACACCCTCACCGGCACATGTTACCTGTGAACTCTTGATGATAGCCGCTCTGAGAGGTGTGAGGCGGCCTCGCTGCGGCTGTGATTTGCACTGTTCTGCCGCTCTGAGAGGTGTGAGGCGGCCTCGCTGCGGCTGTGATTTGCACTGTTCTGCCGCTCTGAGAGGTGTGAGGCGGCCTCGCTGCGGCTGTGATTTGCACTGTTCTGCCGCTCNGGGCGGGGGCCCGGAGGGTCCAGTCCAGGCAGGTTCCTCCTCTTCTAAGTGCGCGCCCCCTCCCCCGAATGCAGCCCCTCTGTCCTGGCAGAGCTCAAGCTGCTGGGGCGGGGGCCCGGAGGGTCCAGTCCAGGCAGGTTCCTCCTCTTCTAAGTGCGCGCCCCCTCCCCCGAATGCAGCCCCCCTGTCCTGGCAGAGCCGCTCAGGAGCGAGAGACCTAGATCAGGCGCTTGTTGCAGACAGGAGCAGCTGCGGGAAACCAGCCAGACTCCCCACACTGTTTTCAGCCTGCTTCCTCCCCCTTCTTGCCAAGAGCAGGCAGACACGTGCACCTGCTCTTCGTGAGCAGAGTCTCGGCCCTCCTGTAAGACCCACAGTTTTCACCAGCTAAGGGCTGGCCCCTACGGCCGCTGTGCCCTCACTTCACAGGGGGGATCTCTGAGCCCGTCATGCCCCCTCCTCCTCTGTGTCCTGCTAGGGGCATGGGTCCTGCCTGATTGCGTCTCCTCTCTTCCTGCCCGACCCCATGTGGATCTTTACAGCTTTGCTGTAGCAGAGCCTTTCCTCCAGGCTCCTGTTTGTGTCCGGCTGGAGTGGCTACACATCTAGATGTATTCTTGATGTGTCTGTCAGGGTGGTGAGCTCGGCATCCGCCTACACAACCGTCTGGATCTCCCTTGTCTTCCTTGTCACAATCCCTTGTCATGATTTTTAAAACATGCTTTGTCTCAGTACTAGGAGCTATTGTGGTGGTAAGAACATTAGTCTTCTATCATGAGTTTTCTTCCCCTTGACATTATTAATGACTGTTTAAGATATACTGGACATTTATCAGTTCAGTTCAGTCGCTCAGTCATGTCTGACTCTTTGCGACCCCATGGACTTCAACATGTCAGGCTCCCCTGTCCATCACCAGCTCCCGGAGCTTGCTCGAAAGCTCATGTCCATAGAGTTGGTGATGCCATCCAACCATCTCATCCTCTGTCATCCCCCTCTCCTGAAAAAGTTGTGTAAAGAGTTTCTCTTTGTCCTCCTTGCTTTCCTAGAGTATCTCCTATTATTTACATCTTGCCTAAGTATGATAATGGGCTTCCCGGGTGGCGCAGATGGTAAAGAATCTGCCCGCATTGCGGGAGACCCGGGTTCCATCCCTGGATCAGGAATATCCCCTGGAGAAGGAAACGGCAATCCACTCCAGTATTCTTGCCTGGAGAATCCCATGGTCAGAGGAGCCTGGTGGTCTACAGTCCATGGGGTCGCAAAGAGCTAGTCACGACTGAGCGAGTGACACACCTGAGTTTGGTACGTTCATGAAAACTGATGAACCAACTTTGATATACAATATTGACTAAAGACCCTAGTTTACATTAAGGATATCTTCTCATATTGTATGCTTCCCTGATAACTCAGATGGTAAAGAATTCACCCGCAATTCAGGAGACTTGGGTTCAATCCCTAGGTCAGAAAGATCCCCTAGAGAACGAAATGGCTACCCACTCCAGTATTTTTGCCTGGAGAGTATTATGGACAGAAGAGCCTGGCGGACTACAGTTCATGGGGTTGCAAAGAGTCAGACATGACTGAGCGACTAAACATACACACACTTCATATTGTATGGTTCTGTTGGTTTTGACAAGTACAGTGTAATATGTCCATTGTTGCTGTCTCATACATAATAATTTCATCACCCTGAGAATCTCCTGGATTCAGCCTATTTGTTTCTCTTCCCCACTGCCATGAAACCTTGTCAGCCGTCATTCTTGTCGTTGTCTCTGTAGTTTTGCCTTTCCCAATGCAACAAAACTTTCTGACTGAATGTTTCTAATCAGAAATCTACCTACCTATAGAGTTCGCCCATGTATTCATCAGGACTCTGGACTGTTCAGCCCTTCTTTCTTCTAAGGACTAGAAGAGTAATTCTCAAAGGAGAGTAATTCTGAATAGGACTCTGTCTTTCCTGCTAGAAAGTTGCAATGGTTAGAAACTAGGATGTGGGGTAGAAATAAAAAATTCTTGGTGTTCAGGCAAAGTAAATGACCCATCATTTGAACATCTGAGCTGTTGTCATCAGATCTGGGGCTTCCTGCACTTCTTATCTTAAATCCTTTCACACTCTCTTCCTTCACAGAGACCTGCCAAACTTTTGTTAAAACAGTGAGCTGTGTGCTCTGAGGACTGACTTTCGGGAGACGAGTTTCCGCCTGAAGGGCTTCCCAGGTAGCACTAGTGCTAGGGAACCTGCCTGCCAATGCAGGAGACTCAAGAGACCTGCGTTCGATCCCTGGGTTGGGAAGATCCTCTGCAAGAGGGCACGGCAACCCACTCCAGTATTCTTGTGCGGGCTTCTGTCCATGGGGCAGCCAAGAGACAGACACCACTGAGTGTCTAAGCACACACACACGGCTTCCTCCTGAAGAGGGCTGTGACGAGAACACTGTTGGGTATAAACGAGCAGATTTTGACAGATGTTTTTCATCCCCAGCACACTCCCGGGAAATAGGGCTTTGAAGCTTGGAACACCTTTGCACCTCAGTGGAAGACTGTGTCTCCTTTAGAGACAGGAGACATCCAGGGTGCCTCTGGGTACCACACGCATCTTAGAGTGCAGCTGAGACATCCAGGGACCCTCTGGGTACCACACGCATCTTAGAGTGCAGCTGAGACATCCAGGGACCCTCTGGGTACCCCACGCATCTTAGAGTGCAGCTGAGACATCCAGGGCGCCTCTGGGTACCACATGCATCTTAGAGTGCAGCTGAGACATCCAGGGCGCCTCTGGGTACAATATGCATCTTAGAGTGCAGCTGAGAACATCCAGGGCCCCTCTGGGCATCACACGGCAGCTTAGACAGACTGCAGCTGAGACATCCAGGGCGCCTCCGGGAATCACACAGCAGCTTAGGCGGAGTGCAGCTGAGACATCCAGGGCGCCTCTGGGCACCACACGCATCTCAGACAGAGTGCAGCTGAGACATCCAGGGCGCCTCTGGGTACCACACGCATCTCAGACAGAGTGCAGCTGAGACATCCAGGGCGCCTCCAGGCATCACACGCATCTTAGAGTGCGGCTGAGACATCCAGGGCGCCTCTGGGCACCACACGCATCTTAGACAGAGTGCAGCTGAGAGGCAATGGGTTCCAGGGAACGGGTTTTCCACTTTTGATTCTCTGAAGACAGACATTTGTCACCTTGAGACAGGAGATAGAAGAATCTTTAAAAAAAAAAAAATCCTGTTCTTTTGTTTTAAATGCTCTTCCTCTTTGAGTGTTTTTGGATTATTTACTTAACAAAGTACAGTGTTTGTTATTATCGATCTGAGGAGTAAATGGAGAAGAATGTGAAAAACACTCTAAATTGATATAATGACAAAGATCTTTATATTTAGGAAGCCTGAAATTCACCATTTTTGAGTTTGCTCTTATCTAACACTTAAAGATGCAGATGACCTTGGAAACATGCTCTTTTTAATTGGCTTTATGAATCTGTCTACAACCACCTGAGGTGAAAGCTGAAAACAGCTCACTCTTTTTTTTTCCTTGCAGTTTTATTGATATACAATTGACATACAGCACTGTGTAAATTTAAAGGGTACAGCCTAATGACTTGACTTACATGTTTTGCAAAATGATTGCTGCAATATATTTAGTTAATTCCATCTCCTCATGTATTTGCCAAAAAAATATTTATTCTCTTGTGGTGAAAACTTTTCTACTCTTTTTGAGTGATCATGTAATCATTCTGTCTACAGTTCAAACCCTTCATGCTTTCAACCCTCTCTGATCTCAAGAGGTTTCTAAGTTAATCTATCTGATTTTTTTTGTGGTAATGTACAGGCTTCCACTGAGAGTTAAGTGTTTTAATAAAATCATATATTGTGCGTCCCCAGATATGCTGTTTTTGAGTTAATTCCATCCACAGGCACACAGAAAGGGGAGACAGGAGTAGGGACAAGACAGTTTCCATTTACTGTGCCCCCCCCCCCTTTTTGCATATTTCTTCTTAGAAACCTCTTGAGATCAGAGATCTGCACACAACACACACACACACACACACACACAAGGAAGGGTAGATGCAAATTGTCTTGTCCCTACTGTCTCTCCTTTCTGTGTGTGTGTAGATGGAGTTAACGCAAAAACAATACATCTGGGTATGCACAATATGTGCTTTTATTAAAACATCACTCTCAGTGGAACCCTATACATTACTGTAGAAAAAATCAGATAGATTAAAATTCCACTTTTCTCTGTCACCACAAACTAAAGCTGTTTAGTGGCTACCACACCCTTGGTACGCTTTTGTTTTTTATTTGGATATAAATGAGAGTCCAGTATCCTCATTCCTTTCTATTACAAACCACAGTTTTAGAATGCATCTTAAAGATTTTGCTTTTTATAAATAACAATAACAAAAGTCAATACCTAGATAACTTTTACTGCTACAAACAGACTAACAAGTTGTCTTTTATTAGACCTATTGTGATAAATTTTTAGAAATGTTGAGTTATACAGATACTTATAAGTGCCACTGTTACCTATCAGTATAGTTTTGCAGATTGTTCAGTGTTTCTTTTCTTTTGATGCTTTGCTTCCACCAATGAAAGATATTTTTAAACCATGTTGGAAGTTGAAACCTAATATGAAATGTTGACCCAACAGGATACTGGCCTTCTTGAGGCTTTCCTGCTAGGATTATCCTCGATGATTTAGGAATGGCATTCACTATTGCAGGCATTCCTCATGCCCTAAAACTGGCCACCCGAGTGTTAGGACAATGAGATTCATTGTCTGTGAAGAAAGGTCACAGGTTTTTTTATTAGTTAGCTACTGGATTTAAGATGACAGCTTAAAATCTAACTATCAGCAAACAGATAAACAGAGGGCTTGAAAGGCCTTCTAACCTTTGCTCTAGTCAGCCTGAGATGTGTAACTTCTCAATGGTTAAATTTTGAGAAGCAGCAAAGTAGGGTTAAGAATAAAGAATATTAATAAAGAATAAAGAAACGGACATGATGCCTATCTTCTTACAGTAATTTTTAGGATTGTTAAGTACGTTAAATGAATTTAGAGACACAAAACATTAATGTTTTCTTTGGTTAATTTGAATGTTCTTTTCAGTGGTTAGTGAGTAATCTTCAGCAATTTATGTATTATAACTTGGCTGCTGTTTCCAGTTTCCAATTGTGAAATTATATAATCATTGACTTACTGGTGCAAAGAAATTGCTTCTTTTTCAAAGAGAGATAAAATTAAATAAATAATGCCTATATTGGCGTCCCTTGGCTTATAGAAAGACTGGTTTCCACCAGGGGATATCCAAAATAACTAACTTGAAATTCTTGAAAAAAGAAGCTATTTTCAATTTATTGTATTTTTCTTAAAATAATTGGCAGTCACATTTTGGCTGTGTGTATGATCTAAATATTCCTTTCTTTTCTGGGCATTTGTCATAACTCTGTTCAGAGGTATAAGTATGCCCTATATCGCCTAATTTCTTTCCTAACTTTCTCATTCCTTGTGAAGGATGTCAGTTTTCCCATGGCATAATTTTATGAATAATGGCCAGTATCCTATTTCATGTCACAAAAGCTCACTGGTCCAGTTAGCGTCTTCGTCAGTACATAAGACAGAGACGGGTGAGTAGCGCTAATGCAAAAGCTGAAACATGAAGTAACTTGGTATTAGGTGCACAATTTTAAACCATTCTGAGGGTTGCCAAAGTGATAAAGTAGCACTGTCCTGCTTGTTAACTTCGCGGAACACTTCAGTGAGGCGGGGCCAGATACCATCTCCCTATTTACCATCTTGTGTTGGAGAGAATATAAATCAGAAGGATTGCTCATTTGCAGATAGCCCTAGCAGTGGGACCCAGTAGGAATTCTGGAGACTTGTAGGAAGTGTATTCCCTTGGAGACAGGAGAGAACGTGGAGCTTGTAATGAAGGTAGCAGAGTGCCCAAGAGACGTTTCTGAGAAGATGTCAGAAGTCTCCTCTAGATTCTAGTTTTCTGTGCTCCAGACTGTACCTGTAACCTGAGAGGAGTCACTGCAATCTCTGTGGACGATCGCTTCCTCATCTATATCACCTCTTGGTTATTTTGGTTTTAAAAGGACATGAATTTACTCACTGAACCTGACTTGTAGACGCTTACCTGAGATGCTGTCTACTGGGGGTTTACGGGAAAATGCAGAGTTCCAAGTAAACAATCACAGGGGTGCTTTTAGAGTTCAAACAGACACAGACTGTGAAATGCTAGACTTGTGACTGGTTTATTAACCGGGAAATTCTGGCATTGAAGTGTGACTAGGCCTTTTGTGTGTTGATTAATCACAGACCCCAGAGGGCATAAGTGAAGAACAAAGGATTCAGGAGTTGACTGCAATGGAAGAGACCCGGATAACAATTCTGAACAACCTTGAGGAACTCGAACAAAAAATCAAAGATATAAACGACCAGATGGAGGAGTCTTCCAGAGAGGTACAAACCACGAGTTCACTTATTACCTCTCCCAATTTTCTTTCTTTCCTTTAGCTTAAATATAACATTACCTCTTAGGGCACAGGCCTTGGAGGGCAGAATACATAGAGGTCAACATGAGCAAATATTCATGGAATGGGTACATATGTGGGGTATAATCGTCTTTTTAAAATGTTTCTTCTTTCTGTGTTTTTGTTCATCCAATGAGATAAGCATATGAAGCCATTTTTAATGTATGCTATGTAACTGACTTTGTCTTAACTGGTGTGTGCTTTCTGACCTGCTTCAAGATCTGTCAGCTGAGGTACCATATATTTAGACGTTTAAGCTCAAATCCAACAAACATTTTTGTAAGTGTGTTAAGTATGAGTTGAGTATCATCTTGGCACTATGGGGGGATTTACATGTGAATCAATCATAGACCTCACTTTCCAGAGGTTTGCAAATCTCTAGAGGAGACAGACATATACAGTATAACTGCAGTTAGAGAAAAGGGTGATTTTTTCATCCCTCCATGGAGTGAGAAGGAGGCACTCATTCTGCCCAGGAAGGATCTTCATGTCTGTTCTCACAGCTGATGCTGACAGCCCGTGTGTGGAAGGGAATGATCATCTGTCATGTAGAGACCCTGGAAGCCCCTCCTTGCTGGCACTGCTGGAAATGCAGAGCTTGCTTGATGGACTGAGTGTAGTTTTCACTTTCTGCGCTCTGGGGACAAACAGAGATGTGACTGCTCCCAAAATGGCTCACACTTGAGCCTGAATCTAAGCAAATAGGCAAAATTACCTTGAGAAGTAAACGAAAAGGCGGGGAGGGTATAATAGAAAAATTAAATTAAAAGACAGCTAGTGTTCTTAGCAAGTATATTCTGGCCTCCCTGCTTTCTCATGTAAGAATTCTGAGTCTTGCATGGACTCTCTGGAGTGTTTTCTGGACTCCATAATCTGACTGAAAACAGTAGTACTTTTTGCAATTTGTACCTGTTAAAAATACACCTTTAAAGGAGGCAGCTGGAAATTTCCCTGAAGGTGAAACATTTCTGAGCTTTGTTTGTGTCTTCAGCTGGATATGGAATGTGCTCTCTTGGATGGAGAACAAAAATCGGAAACAACTGAACTTATGAAAGAGAAGGAGATTTTGGATCATCTAAATCGGAAAATCACAGAACTGGAAAAGAACATTGTTGGTGAAAAGACCAAGGTAAAAAGAAAATTATACATGATACAAATTTTGGGGGCAAAATGGTGGTCCCATTGATTAAATTTAAATGTTGCATGAATCGTGGTTTTGGACTTGTGTTCCATGTTCCGGGAGACAGTGACACTAGGAAAGAGTCTTCAGACGAGGTAAGTCGTTGCACACAGAACTCTCAGGTACAGAGCAGCTGATGCTGAGACAGTAGGACCTGCTTAGTTTTTGAGCTGATATTTGTGGCAGTTTACCCCTGCTGAGATGAGTGAATTGCTTTTTTCCATTAGCTTTCCTGCTGTTCTGATTCCACTCTTTTTTAAAAGAATCATTTTAGTACTAGTGGTGCCCTGCAAGGATGGCTTAAGCATATTCAAGTATGGTTGCCTCATTTCTTTTCATTTTTCTGTGTATTAAAAAGGTGAATGGGGAATGTTCATCTCATCTGTCTTGCCTTGCCATTGGCTTCAATGCAAGTGCACTGCTCTTAGAAAAATATGTTGGGGTTTTCAGGGGATCCTCACACACTGCCAAGTGAACACTGTGAAATACAGTTGATACTTATTTTGGAAAAAGTTTTACTGACACATTTTAGGCCACAGCCTAAATGTTAGCTGACCCCTCCTAGGGAATATGGAGAATTACTTGCAGTTTTCAGAATTCAGGGTAGGAGTTGGGTTTTGGGATTTTGTTGTTGTTGTTATTGTTGTTTTCTGTTTATTTTTTCTGGAAAATATTTCACTTACTGTCATCTCAAATTCTAAGTCAGTTACAGGAAACTCAGCCTAAATTAAAAATTAAAATTACAATTTGAAAAAAAAAAAGCAAATGAGCTTTAATACATTCTTTCTTGATCATCGAGTTCTCCTCTAAACTGAGGAAAAGAAAAATAATTTCAGTTTGAGTAAATTCCACTGGTAATATGTGGACAGGATTTCTACTGCATGTAGCTTCCTTTTTAGGCTTCTCTTTGTTTGAAACCTATAAATAAGGGCATTTGATCTTGGTGCCAGAGAGTGAGCTCAAAAAGATATTGTCAGAAATTTAAGTCAGATTAAAAGCTACATATCAATTTCTTGGTTGCCCGCTTGTCAAGATTAAACTGCACATCTTTTTCATGTTAAAGTTTATGTATGTGCCTTTGAGCTCCAGACTTTGAAACTGTAAAGAATCCATTTGGGTAGTGGACATATTTTTCTTTAAAAGCTCAAAACCACATGAAAGCATTGATTGTCTAGTTCTGCCGAGCAGGGATATTATGGTTTTCAAAGATTCTGCCCTGATACAGCAAGGAACTTTTGTTGGAGGCATTGGGTGTCTTTGTTTTGGTGCTTAGTACTATTTTATTGTTTATGTCAAACTGGAAAGCTTGTGGGACATTGGAATGGGGAATCAGAATCTCTGAACCTGTCTGCCTTCCCCATCCGTGTAGTTGTTTGTCTTTGTGTAACCCACATATGACACAGACTATAAATTCTATACACAAAAGTGAAGTAAGTTGAGTGAGTGCTAAATCTCACTTTTCAGGGGCCAGTTGTGTTATATTCTCCAGACCTAAGGTGGAGATGGAACTCTAGTAACATGGGTGGAAACAAAGAGGAAGTTGCTTACATTATTGTTCTTTTTTGTATTCTTCCTATTATTATTTTGAAGAGAGGAGGCAGTGGGGGCTTGAAGTATAGAACCAGCTCATGCAGCTGTTAGGGGATTAGTTGGTCTCAGAAGGTGGGATTATTGTCTGTCATCACATGGTATGAAAAATGACAGAAACTGGCTTTGGGTGAGAGATTCCAGAGGAAAACAAGGGAAGTGAAAACAGACTGGGCTAGATGATGTTACTGCATATTCTTGACAACCAAACTCAAATAGAGACTGAATACCTCTTGGCAGCATCACTGTTTCTCAAATAAAGCTACTCTACTGTTTTATGGCATGGCTATTTTATACCTTCACTCTGTTCAAACTTCTAGTCCAGTTTCCTCCCCTCGGCCCTGAGATGATCTCACCACCTACTTCACTTAGAAATTAGAGCATCTAGTCTTCACAAAGAAGGCTGGTGTGTGTGCGTGCTAAGTTGCTTCAGTCATGTCTGACTGTGACCCCCATAGGCTGTAGCGCTCCAGACCTCTCTGTTCATGAGGTTCTCCAGTCAAGAAAACCGGAGAGGGTTGCCATGCCCTGTTCCTGGGGACCTTCCCGACCCAGGACTGAAGCTGAGTCTCTTATGTCTCCTGCATTGGCAGGCAAGTGCTTTACCACTGGCGCCACGTGGGAAGCCCCAGGAAGGCTCTTCTCCCCTCAGAGACCAGTCCCTCTGGGTGTGCCCGGGGTACCGTCCCACCGCCTGGAGGTTTTCCAGTCCTTCTGTTCCCAGCTCCTCCCAGCCACTCCCTCTTTGCTGGACTCGTACTGACAGTATGCCAACATTAGTATTTTTAAAAATTGGCTTAGGATGGGGAACACATGTGCACCCATGGCTGATTCATGCGAATGTATGGCAAAAACCACCACAATATTGTTAAGTAATTAGCCTCCAATTGAAATAAATAAGTTTAAAAAACAAACAAAAAATTATTAGTAAAGAATAAAGTTCCTTCCAGCAACGATCTTAGCTAGTTTCTCTTCAGCACAGCCAAGCTTTTCAAACAGTTTTCTCAGTACAGTGTATGATGTCTTGCTCAGTTAGCCGTTCCCCCCATCCTTGTCACTGCTCCGTTCATGCCACTACCTTAGTGCAGCCTATCACATTCTTTTATAGCCACAGTTCAAATAACCTGTGTGCACTGGTGACTGTCGAATGTATGTCTTTAGTCCACAGCCTTTTTCTGAACTTCTGACTCATAACCTGTAGCCCAGCTGCTATCTCCCCTGAGATATTTCTCAGGTATTTCCAGCTGAACACTCTGTAACGGAACTCTTGATCTCATCCTTCCCCTTGCCTTCCATACACCTCCCTTACTTCCAATCCTGTTCTTCCTCTAGTTTTCCCACCAGGAAGTGGCATCTTTATACACCTATATGCCCAAACAGACACCTGGAAGTAGATCTTGATATTTCTTTCTCTATCAACTCTACTCCTAATTGATTGCAATGCTATTTTTCAATTACTTTAACTTCCCTGCATCTCCCCTAATAGCATTCTCTTCAAAATCATCAACATTTCCTTTTGAGTTCTGTTTCCACTTGCTTCCCTTCAGTTCATTTTCTTCACAGCAGCCAGTGTGACTTTTAAAATATAAATGAGGTCACATCCTTCCGGTTTGTATTCCCCTGTATTTTATATGAGCCTAAATGCCTTATCCATCCTGACTATTTCCATTACTTTCCTCCCCTCTTCACCTCGCTCACGTGGTGGCCGTCTTTCTGTTTGTTCACAGGTCCACCCCGCCCGCTGCCCCTGCCCAGCGCCCTTGCAGATCCATTACTTTCCTCCCCTCTTCACCTCGCTCACGTGGTGACCGTCTTTCTGTTTGTTCACAGGTCCACCCCGCCCGCTGCCCCTGCCCAGCGCCCTTGCAGGTCAGCTCGCCTTGCCTGGACTCTCCTTCCCCACCTTCTGTGTCTGGTTGGTTCCATCTCTCAAGGCTTGAGCTCAGTGTTGGTTTTTCAGAAAAGCCCTGTCGGCCCGTTCCAGCTCAGATGACAAGCTCTCTGTTGTTCTGTCAGTCCTTTCACAATCACATTTGGTCATTTATATTTGTTTTGGTTTGGTTAGATATTAATTTCCCTCTCTAGCCTGTGAAATAGAGGTAGGCACTGTTATCCACTGTTTATCCAGCTCGTAAGAGGTGCCAGAATACCGCCCAGTGTTCTTTGGGAATATTGTCCTTGGATCTTCTGCTAACGGCGAGTCCCCGCTGAGTCTGAACAGAAATGTGGAGCCAAACACCTGCTCAAGGGCTGTGTGTGGCCAAGTCTCAGGACAGCTGGGGTGCTCTGTCCAAGGGCTCACGCCAGGCGGCTCGCAGTCACAACGCTCGTCGAGCCAGGGCATGAGATAGAAGAAGGAAGTGGCCTTCACCCTTTTGGATCTCGTTTCCTTTCCTATACACCTGTTGCTGTTGTCAGATATAAACAGTGGAATGAGAAAACCAAAACCTGAAAAGATATCCCTGTTGGGCAAACTCCAGTTTAGATGTCGGCAGCACATCCTGTAAGCCTGGCTCTCATTTTTTGGAGACAAGGCCTGGAGCCATAGGAGGAAAGTTTAATATGTCACAGTTCAAATCCTGGCGTGAAATTATCGACATTTTTTTCTTGACTGTCAAGATCAGACTTTAATGTTATTTCTTTTAGCTTCCTCGGGAACTATCATTCTGTTTTCGGTGCTTAGTATAAATTGATGTATTTCATAGGTGACCACTATTTATTATCTGGTACTAAACTATGCTCACTCATGTCTGATTCTTTGCAACCCCATGGACTCATGGAATTCTCCAGGCCATACTGGAGTGGGTAGCCTTTCCCTTCTCGAGGGGATCTTTCTGGATTGAACCGAGGTCTCCTGCATTGCAGGCAGATTCTTTACCAGCTGAGCTACCAGGGAAGCTCAAAATATAAACTACAGGCATAATTATATATGCAGCATAAAATATAGACAGTCTTTAATTATGTATTTGTTGAATACATATACATACACGTGTGTATTGTGTCTATATGCATATATACATGTACACATATGCACACATACACACATGTACGATGCGTGTTTGCAGACGCTCCCTGGGCTGCCCTTGCATTGCCCTCGTGGGCACCATCGTCAGGCCCATCAGTGTGCCTGTTTCCAGGTGGCTCTAAGCTGAAGGCCGTCTGCCTGTTGCGTTCTCAGACAGCGGCCACATCACAAATAGAGTCTCTCTGAGCTTGGATGAACCCTAAACAAATAGAAGGATCAGGCTCGAACATAAACTCAAAGGGGATGTTTATTTGAAGCAGTAAGCATAAAGCCATAGTATTTTCTTAGGGCAGGAGAAAGGAGAGAGACTTGTCAGTCTCTGCACTGGAAAGCTGTT